TAAGAGGGCACCAGATCTCATTATAGATGGTTGGAGCCACCATGTGGTTGCTGGGAATTGAACTCAGGACCTCTGGAAGAGCAGCCAGTGCTCTTGACCTCTGAGCCATGTCTCCTCTATTCATAGGCACTTTATATGCATGGATCATTTATTTGTGACCCTTTGGGTTTGGCTTCCATCATTTAGCATGGTGTCTTCCAGGTCTGTCAGTTTCCTATTTGTGCATTAGCACTGCCTTTTTCTTCTGTTGTTGAATACATTCCCTGGCCAGGACACTGCACATCTGTTGATAGGCACTTAGGTCGTTTCTGATTTTGGCTATTATGGATAAAGTTGCTTTGAAACCTTGCTTGTGTGGATGCATGCTTGTAATTCTCTTGGGCATATATCTAAAAGTGAATGGTTGGGGACTATAGACAGAGACTTTTATGAACTGCTAGATTCTCATGATATCACTTTTTTTCTGGTATTGAAAATTAAACCCAGGGCCTCTTGCATGCTAGGCAACCACTGAACTAAAGCCAGAGCCCTCAATATAGTTTTGTTCTCATTAAGCTGACCAAGCTGTCTTTGAGCTCACTCTTGTGCTCACAAAAGACCTTGAACTTGCTATCTTCTTGTCTATACCTCCTGAGTAGCTGGGATTATAAGCTGGCACCACTGGGACTAGCTTCTTAGATCTTAGTGGGCAACTCAGTCTCCTGAGACCCTAAGAGCATTTCAGCCTCACCGAGGATCTCTTCCTTGATGGTTCTGAGAGCTAGGCACAGAAAGATGACTCCTAAGTGAGCAGCAGGGCTCAAAGTGCAGAACTGCCAAGCTGCATAGTACAGTGACTCAGAGTCACCCAAGACATTAGTCAGATCTTCTAGTAGCCTACATGAGGAAAAGAAGAAACTACATCAAGGTCCTGGGGATCTGCAAGAGGAAGCTGCGGTGTGTGAGAATCTAGGGTGTGGCATGGACTTGAGAAGGGCCAAGGGTCAGGATCTCCAATCAGTAGCACATGGAATGTGGGGTTCTTGCTTTGTTAGTTCAGTGACAATCCTATGTTGCATGTGAGACCTCCATATTCCCTGGATTGAAATATACTTTGGTTGTTTCTAAGACTGCATGGAGTGGAATGATCCTGCTTCCTGTATTTACAGCTGCTGGGGTGCAGCACAGTGCATTTCTCAGCACCTGTAGTGATGCTGGCACGTAGGACATGCTCAGCTGATGGTCAGATAAAAGCACAGCCGTGACTCACATGCAGCACCTCATACTTGACACAGTGAGGGAACGACTGTGTTGTCACTGTAGTATCTGCCATGCTCATGCTGGACTTCCTGCTTTATAAGATAAAAATTATGGGTGTATATGTATGACTCTCTCTCTCTCTCTCTCTCTGTGTGTGTGTATGTATGCCATGTATGTGTAGGTGCCTGCTGAGGTCAACAGAGGGTATTGGGTCCCCTGTATCTGTAGTTTCAGGTGGTTATGGGCCTGCATTCCTGTTCTCTAGAATAGCAGGAAGCACTCTTAACCTCGGGGCCATCTTCCAGTCCCTACTTTGTCTCTTGACTGCATCAATTTTTCTTTTTTTGTGTTTGACCCAGTCTTGTGTTGTTTTATTCATCAAAGTTCTAGAAAGAGTAGGCTGGTCAACGTTTCTATGTGTCTCTATCAATCTGACTGGTAAACATATGTGTCTCTATCAATATGGCTGGTAAACATTTATATATGTCTCCATGAATCAGGTGGTAAACATATGTGCCTTTATCAGTCTACCTGGTAGCTTGGTGTCCAGAAGCTATGCAATTCAGATCTGCATAGCACACATGCTCTATGGTGTATGTATAGTGATGGAACTATCTATCTAAGGACACGCTTCTCAGAGCATGTCCATGTTATCAGCAATATCACTCACTGCCAGAGGCTTCCTTCCCAAGGAAATGCCCGGCTGAGAGATGGATGCACGAATATGAACAGGGCCCATTCCCTGGAGAAGAGCAAAGTCTCATGAGTGGACAGAAGCACAGCATCGTGGTCCCATCCCTCTGCCAGTGTGATGCCTTGTGTCCTTTCTTTTAGGAAGTGACAGGGATGGGAGATGGTCACAGCTTACGTTTCTCTAACATTTACTTAGCAACTTAAAAAACTCTGGCAGCTATATATTGGTGTAAAAACATTTATGGAATATTACCTTTCCCCTGGAAACTCTATTCCAGTGGTTCTCAACCTTCCTAATGCTGTGACCTTTTAATACAGTTCCTCATGCTGTGGTGACTTCCCCCACCAACCATAAAATTATTCTTGTTGCTTCTTCATGACTGTAAATTTGCTGCTGTTGCGAATGATAAATATCTGTGTTTTGTGATGGTCTTAGGTGACCCCTGTGAAAGGGTTGTTTGAACCCCCAGGGGTCTCACCTCACATGTTGAGAACTGCTCCTCTTTTCCCTTAGCCCAGAGCCTGAGCACAGAAGTGAAACAAGATCATTGTTAGGAGACAGAATTGAGCCAATGCGATTCTCACGTATTAAGACGGGTAAGATGGCGATGTAGGGGGGTTGTGAAGAGTCGGGCTCACAAGTCTCCAAGGTGGCAGCTTCCTGTGATGGGGCCAGGTGTGAGGTTAAAAAAGCCCGAAAGGGGTCTTACTCAGTCTGAGGCCAGAAGCCTTGTTCACGAGGCACTTTTTAATCATGGCTTTCTGTAGTTTGCACAGATCGAAGTCGAGAAAGAAATAGAAATCTCTTCTTGTGATCTATTTCTATTATTGGGAAACTGATTCTGGCTGCCTCAGTCTACTCTCTGGGCAAGAATAATAATTATCAAGGAGTTCACTGTATGCCAGGCACAGTGGATATCTAATTTATTTATCCTATCACAACTCCATGGGACTAGGTGCCATTGTTTTTTTTTTCCCACTGAAATATTTGCCCCAAGTCTCATTCAGCAATTGGTAGCAGAGCTATCACAGCATTTGAGTCCTGGTCTGCCTACTGCCAAACTCGTGTCACTTAAAAAAAAAGATTTATTTTTGCACATTCTACTGCAAGCTAAATCATTAGTTCTCCACTCCACTGACACAAGAGTTAGATTTCCATTTTAAATTCTGCCTGGACAGTGGTGGTGCACACCTTTAATCCCAGAATTTAGGAGGCAGAGGCTGATGAATCTCTGTGAGTTTGAGGCGAGCCTGTTCTACAGAGAAAATTCCTGGACAGCCAGGGATACACAGAGGACTCTGTTTCTAAAAATCAGAAAAAAAAGTAATTCATTATGTGACAAGGAGTGGCAATACCATGTCTCCAGGAACACTGACCGGAGATGACAAAGCACAGACTGCATACTGACTTCCGGTGCAAGCCTATGTGAGTTTCACTGTCATCTCCAGCTATGCTAGTGATCCCAGCAGCTGGCATTCCCTGCTTTAGCATGTGAGTTAACAGACGTTATATAATGCAGGCAGACCTCAAACTCGTGATCCTCCTGCCTCAACCTTCTAATAAACACAAGGATGGCCACATGCTCTAGCAGCCAGGCCTTGATCACACTTCTGAAAACAATTATTTTATTTTTCCTCATACAACAAAAGCTTTATTGTGAGCTTGACCTTCACAGAGAAAGTTCCAGTGACAAGTGCACTTAGCACTGACTCATTAACATGCTTAAATGTGACACTAGAGAGCTGTACTATTCCAAATCCCAGAAGGCATCTAAACAGGCAACCATTGTTATTACTGGTCACAAAATGGACGGAACAACTGTATGGTTGGACCTGAGTCCCGGGTTACTATCACCGCTTGCTTTGGTATCTCAGGGAGCAAAGGGGACCTTAACTAGGGATTATTCATTCACATTTTTTACTTGAGAACCACTACCGAAGGTTTGCATACCACACTTGTTTGTTCCAAAAGGCTCCAGAGAAGATAGTTTAAGCCTCTTCACAAAGCAAACTACCCTGAATCTATGGGTGAGATCCAACACTGGTCTGTGCTTGATCTCAGACAATGTAGAAACATCATCTCCCTGGAACACAAATTTATTGATTGCACAGAAAACAGCAGGATGAGAAGAGTCATCATTGAAGCTCAGTACCCTGGTTACAGGGTGCTTGTGTGAGAAGGGTTATGTGGTCTACTCTCACTTCTGTCTCATAATCAGAGTCTGTTTTCATTTCCACTATCAGCCAATCAGAACATACTGAAGTCACTGCTGGTTCAACTCCAAAGCATTCCAAAACAACAGAAAAAGGAGAAGAAAGAACCTGCCTGAGATCAATATTAGATTCATTATGTCGAATTCCAAAGTGTGTGTGTGTGTGTGTGTGTGTGTGTGTATCTCTGCGCATGTGAGTGCAGGTGCTTGAGGAGGCCAGCAGATAGCATCAGACCCTCTAGAGCTGGAGTTACAGGCATTTGTGAGCTGCTATCTGGGTGCTGGGAACTAAGCTCAGGTCTTCTGGAAGAGTCCTTAGTGCTCTTAGCCACTGAGCTATCTCTCTAGTACTACAAATTTTGATATTAAAAATGAATCTGGGAAGTCGGGTGTTGGTGGCACATGCCTTTAATCCCAGCACGTGGGAGGCAGAGGCAGGCCAATCTCTGTGAGTTCGAGACCAGCCTGGTCTACGGAGTGAGTTCCAGGACAGGCTCCAAAGCAATACAGAGGAACCTTGTCTCGAAAAAACTGAAAAAAAAAATCTGGGGAGCCTTGTTTCAAAATAAAGATATAATGATGAGTATTTAGTACATTATGGTTCACAAATACGCCATTATGTGTATGTGGAATGAATAGATGAGGAGAACTGTAGTGATCATGACAAAGTGAGTGAAGGCTATTCTGACACTTCCATGAAACACTGTTGCTGAAGACACCTCCTTCAGAAAGTTAACTTCTGGAGCCAAAAGCTACACTTGCTCTCTGCATTAGGAAACCTCAGGCCACAGGGAGGGCAGCACGGTCAGGAATGCAATCGCATTTCGCAGAGGCCTGCCCAGGGAAGCAACTTACTATTGTGCACAGTCGATCAGCTGGTACTCGTTGGACCTCTCAAAGCAGGCCTTCACCCCCTCATCGTCCCACAGCTTCTTCACGTGATCAAAGAACTCCTAAGGTTGGGAAGAGTGACAAAACACACGTCAGGATATTTCACAAAGTGAGAAGTGAAAAGAAACTGCAAGACAGAAACTGCAAGGAGGGCGGGGATTCTTTTATCGTGGAGGTTCAAGCTATGTACTGTCAGGTGCACCATGATGCAAGCAAGCATCTATGCTCTCACCCTCATGCAAGCTACGGAATCTCCCTACTGTTCACAAAGCTCACCAGAATGAAACCTGTAAGTCAAAAACCAGTGCCAGTCATTAGTCATAAAACAAGACAATTGTATGGTTCTTAGTGTTCAGTGCTCTTGAGAGTTAAGCAGCCACTTTGGCAATGAAAGACATGGATAGTCTAAGGTCCATCTTAGCAACTGTATTTTGACTTTTTTATGTGAGGTAAGATCAGAATGGAAGGATGGAGGAATGGAGAGATGGTTCAGTGATTAAGAGCATTTGTTGTTTTTGAGAGGGCCCTGGGTTTGACTCTCAGCATCCAAATGGTAGCTTACAACCACTTGCAATTCTAGTCCATGGGGATCCAATGCCCTCTTTTGGACTCCTTGGGCACTAGACATATAAGTGGTGCACATGGAACAAAAATAAAACTAAAAAAGTAGACATAACAAAGTAGATAGACTAAATTGGTTCATTAACATAAAAAATCTTCCATAGGGCCTCAGGTAGCCCAGACTGTCCTCCAGGACTATGCCCACTCAGTGATGGACAGTTTACTATGAGGGTTTTATTTCTTGTGTGTTTAAAGTAAACCATGAGTTAACTACGAACTGTGAGTTTTGGTTCACCCGAGAGTCATAAGGTCATCAGGTTCACCCATTATGGCGTCAGGGAGTGCTGAAAGAACGTGACTTATCTTAAAGTCACATCACTACCTCTGGGGTTCTTGATTCCTCTCCAGGTGATTGACAACATACAACAGATTGGGCTGGGTTTGAACATAGGAACCATTGACACTATATTACATTTTATAAAAGTCCACATAGTTCCCATTGGCAGGTTATGAAGTGCCCAGGATGGGTCTAAACCCAGTTAATAAGTGTGAAGGGCAGCAGACCCTTTATTTGGTTTCTTGGGTTAAGAAAGGGCAATACAAACTGGGAGGAGCCGGGCGTTGGTGACACACACCTTTAATCCCAGCACTCAAGAGGCAGAGGCAGGCAGATCTCTGTGAGTTCGAGACCAGCCTGGTCTACAAGAGCAAGTTCCAGGACAGCCTCCAAAACAATACAGAGAAACCCTGTCTCGGAAACAAAACAAAACAAAACAAAACAACAACAACAACAACAACAACAAACTGGGAGGAAAATGCTAGCAGGTGCAGGCTCCTGCCTTTCTCTGGGAAGTTCTCTCAAGTTTCTCCAGTCCATGTCAGAGTCAGGAGAGCTGTCTCCCTTCCCCCTCATATCCCATGTAGTGGGCAGATGTGGTGGTCACAGCAGTTGGTTACAGAAGAGACCCCAGGCAGGTCAGATCCAGAACTAACTGGGATGAGGCTAGGGGGCATAGACAGGATTAGGCCAGCTGGAGACGAGACCATGGAAAGCTTGTCACAGGGATGGGATCCAGCAGATGTGCAGAGGTACTGTGGCACCTTGCAGGCCCCTCTACCAGGTGGAAGAGGAGAGGTAGGCACCTGGATTAGAACTCATTACTGTCTGGTCACTGACAGCAGAACAGGCGCTTGCTGGATGGGGCGGGAGTAGAGGGACATGGTCATGGGTGCTTGCACCATTCAGACCTACAGCTCTCAAGATCCTGGAGGGATACGCCTGGGCTGCCTCCTGTATCAATGCCTGTGTCCCAGCTTTCCAGCTCCGCTGGGAAGTATTCAGAAATGGAAAGATGAGCAGCAATGTGACTGTGGCATTTCTTAAATTTTTTCTGCATTACCAAACAAGAAGCATCTTGAGATCTTTGTACGTTTAAGCAACCAAAATGCGCAGATACTTTTGACTCTCCAAAGGGGCTGAACTGCAGTATCTAAGGCAAACACAGTGCCACATTTAAAACAACTCTTCAAAACAAAATTCTAAAGTTTTGAAAGCATACTTTTATATTCTTTGGATATAAATGCACATGTGTGTGGTGTGTACATGGGTATGTACTCATGTCTGCACATGTGGGCATCTACGTGTGTGTTCATGTATGCAAGGGCGTGTAGACATATGAGGTTGACACTGGAAGTCTCCCTTCATGGCTCCTGGCCTTATTTGTTGAAAGATCAGATGAATCCAGAGCTCACTGAAATGGAAACTCTACCTAACCGACTTTCTCCATTTGGGAGCCCTGTCTTCTACCCTTTGAGTAGGGTGTGACAGGCAAGCTGCCATACCCACCTGGCATTTATGTAGGAGCTAGGGATCTGAACTCAGATCCTCACACTTGCCAAGCAAGCACTTTATCTGCTGAGTCATCTCCCTATGGACCATAATTTTAAGTAAAATTTAAAGTAAAAAAAAAAGTTAAGTATCTAACCATTGCCCATTGCTTTCATACCTCATTCTTCCACTGTCTCCCACTACCTGGAATGATAGCATATTTAAAAAAATAGCTTGAAATTCTCAGATGATAGCCCGTTTTTGTTTCTGCTATCAGATTCTTCATAACTCTTTTAAAAAAGAAAACAAACCAATGACAACAAGAAGCATAAGAATACTATTTCCTATATAATTTCCATGCTAACTTACGCAGATAACTTCTGGGTTATACACACTTGGGGCATAGTTCCCATTTTGAAATGCAAACTGAAATCATCTTTCTAATTTCTTGAGATATGGGCTGTGCAAATGGCCCGTGACACTGTAGGGTGTGGCAGCCAGCTCCTCCTAGTGGCAGCAGTCCCCAGCCAGTCCTGCTCCCCGGGCTTGTGGAACTCGTCACTGGGTAGTGAGAAAATACTTCTCCTTGTGCTCACTGCATGATATTTTCTCAAAGATGACAAAGAAAATGCCTCTGGTGGTAGGGTCAGGAGCCCTCTTGCAAAAACTGTTTATGTCTATGACGTATTTTTAATCTTACAGACCCTTTCTTGATGACAACGATGCTTCCTCCTCCTCCTTGAGACAAGATCTCATGTAGCTCAAGGTAGCCTTGGATTGGCTATGTGGCAGGGCATGGCCTTGGCTTGTGTCTCTCAGTCCTCTTGCCTCCAGTCTGGAGTGCTGGGATTACAGGTGTGCACCACCATGTCTGGTTTGTGCACGGCTCAGGACTGAATGCTGGGCTTCGAGCACACTGGAACACACTCCACCTGCTGAGCTACAGCCTCCAACCCCTTCCTAGGTGATGTATTCTGTATGAATAGTTGCTGCACTGTATCCTTTGGGAGTAAGGACAGAAGACAGGTTGTGCACGTTTAGAACCCTCACAGATTTCTCCTTTAAGTATTTATGATTCTTGACAGGTTGGCTTCTTAGATGTAGAATCTATCACTATGGAGAGTCAATTGTAAGTTGACTAACTTACAATTCTTTTTTTTTTTTAAGAATTCATTGTGTTTATTCACAGTTAATCACTACCTACCAAATCGCTATCCGCAGAAGTTAAGGGAGTAAGTACATAGGTCTTTTTATTTAAACACTGATCTTTAAATATATACACACAAAACTTAGTTCAGCAATAACTTACAATTCTTTAATTGTAAGTTTATCTAAAATTCTACTTAGGAACAGCTTTCAGAAACTGTGTTAGGAAAAGTCCTGCTAACCCAAACATTTAACCACTGAGGAGTCCCAAAGCCCTACCTTTGCTAGCGTGAAGTACGGTAACAATAAAAAAGTTACACAGTATAAGGAGGTCCTATCCCACACTCACTAGATACCCTTTGTGTTCCAGGCAACATTCTGGGGGTCGTGGATACCAGATCTTTTCTGTGTCTCTAATAATTTATGAAATAGATGATTCAGTTTCGTATTTCAGATGCTAGGTGAGAACCATTGAATATACGTCATTTTCATCACATCTACCTAACTGGAAAAGGATGAGTCTTGCCTCAAGGCATACTGGTAGTCTACCTAGCATTCTTCTCTCTGGCCCACAGCAGCTATCTGGGCCAGGGACAGCACGGGGGACCGTGTAAGCATGGGGGACATCATGTACACACCTGTCTATTTTTGTCTGTAGGATTTAGCCTAGTAACTATTCTCAATATCATTTAAAAACAACTTGTGGGGTATATTTTACATGCCATAAACTTCATGCAGCTACCAACAGTCAGGTAGGAACATACTGTCACTTCAGAAGACATTCACCCTTCTTTTGAGTCAAGACCCACCGCTACAAAACCCAGTTCAGATAGCTGCTAACTTTCACTGTCACTGTTGTTTTGCTTTTTCTAAAAATTTTATACAGATGAAATCTTATAATCTTTTGTTTTTAGCTTCTTTCTCACTTAGCATGATACATTTTAGATCTATCCACTTTGTCATGCATATCACCAATATGGTTTATTAATGTTTTTCTGCTTGTGACTGAACATATGCTAAGCAATTGGTCTACCACTGGGCTACATTACATCCTGAGCTATGTCCTCTCTTTGTTCTTTTAAATTGCAGAGTTCTAGCCCATTGTATAAATGCATTATATTTTGCTCATTCACTCGCCAGTTGATAGACATTTGGTTGTCTCTAGTTTAACTTTGTTTTATTACTATCACTATCGCTATTATTATTACATGTTTGAGCGTGGGCATGAGCGTACAGCGGTGTTGTCCGTAGAAGTCAGCGGACACCTCTTGGGGGATGGTTCTCTTCCTCCACTGTGGGTTCTGGGGATGGAACTAAGGTTACTGGGCTTGTGCAGCAAGCACGTTATTCACCGAGCCAACCCTGTGCCATGTTTCCAGCTTTGAACAGATATTAAGAGTGCTGTGTTAGTTTTTACAGGGACTTTGGGAAGCTTTGCTGGGTTATATAGTAATGGATGTGTAGCTGTTAAGAACTGCCAGCCTGCCTAGCACAGCAGTATGCCGTGGCTCCATCGCGCACTTGCAG